AGCAGAGTACTTCCCCCAAAGACGTTCGGATTTGGATGGATTATTAAGAAAAGAGAAAGAAAAGTACAATTTAAGACGTCTATTATCTTCTAACCTTTCCCTTTTCTCCTCGTTATCCTCGGTGTCACTCGGTGGGGCCCTTCGACGATAGCGGCGGCGGTTGCAGATCGTACTGCTTTACGTTGGCTCCAGACCCGGTCTGTGCCGAGCGTTTTCTCCTTCACTTTAGCTGCGTAGCAGCGGTCCTTGGCGTTTAGCGGGGGGGATGAGCAAGGCTCCTTTATCGGAACCCCCTCGGCGACGATGGTGACGAATCACCGGACCAACTACTCGCCGTAGATGGTCCCGGTAGTCACCGCAGTGCTCTACCCAGGCGAACGCTTCTTCGGTTCGACCTGCTTCGTCCCTCCTTTGCTCTTAACTGCGGTGGCGAGACTGGCTCTACTGGCTGAGCCACCGCAGTGAGGACGGTGGGTGTTCGGGGATCCTTGGGGTTTAGCCGGGAAGCGGAAAAATCCTTGAAATTTAGCTTCCCTTGGCGGCGATCCGACACCCTTCACTTAAGCTCACGAACCACGGCACTTTTCCAGGAAACGACGACACTTTCACGCGACGATGCTGGGAATTATCCCTCCAGCTGACACACGCCACGAAAACGGCACTCCAACTCTCGTTTTTACTGAAACGGACCGGGCAAAAACCGCGTCGACTTCCAACCGTGGCTCGTAACTTTCTTTCTTGCTGTACTACTTGACAATCACCGACAATACAACAACCGCCATCGTTCTCCTGCAACCGCGCTCGAATGTTGTGCTGGTTATGTTTTTCGCCTTATTTTGCAGCGGGAGGAGAAACGGGACCTAACTTCATTCTACACGCGAGACAATTTTAAACGATAATTTTTACACTATATTCTAATCCTAAAAACATGCCTACACGAATAAAATCTACGATGAAAATAACAAATTAAAATATTTACAAATAAAGCAGTGGTGAGTATGCTGCCGAGCGTGTGACCAAAACAAAAACAAATCATAACAGGCAAGGCACACGCTCATGGCAAACACGTTAAAAGGGTGGGTTATTAATTGTCACCCTAGACGAGGGTTACACATTCCAAGATAGTTCTGAACAATACTCTCCACGGAAGAATTTCCCCTGCAAGATGGTGTTGGCATGGAAGGGGGATTACAAGTTTTGCTCACAAAAGCTAACAGGTCCTATTCAATTTTTGGTCTGAGATAAATTCTACGGAGAATTTCACGCAAATTTTAAAAAATTGAAGCTCTAGTGAATTCTTAGAAAGAGTTTAAAATTCGAAGAACGAATGAATTTGAAGGTTTTTTTTTAGTGTTTTACAGCGAATTTTTGTACTGTTATAAAAACAAATAAAAGGGATTTCCAGAGAGAATTAAAAATTTATTTTAGAAGAATTCTGGAGAGATCTCTGTGAAAGGAAATTAATCTCAAGGAAAGGCTTGAAAACAATCAAATAAAAGCCTGTACAGTTTTGAGCGAAATTTTCGTGCACAAATTTTGAAGACTTCAAACTTGTTGCAGATCCAAATTCAAGATCCAGCAAAGGTGCTGCTGTTTTAGAAATAACCCAATTAGGCTTAATCGCATTCAGTTATGTGCTTAATTAAAATACCTAAACCGCGATAATTTCCGAAATTCCGGGGGAAAACGGGAAAATTGCTAATCGAGATTTGCTGGTCACCATGAAGAAGAAGGAAATTTGGATGAATGTACGCCCTTAGGGTAGAATGCGGATTCTTATCGTTTTGGCAACACGAGATTTCTGTCTTTTTTGCATTCTATAAAATGTATGGAACGCTTTATTTAATTTGAAATTGTACTGGACCACTCTTCATGGGTTAGAGGTCCGCGTGGTATTTTTGAAAAAAATGTCCTTAAATCATTAATGTATTCTGAGGAAAGTTATTGCTGATGGGGCTATGTTGCCAAAACCGGGTAGGCACTGCACCTGGAATTTGTTTGAAAATTACTGGAAAATCGGGGAATTTTGTTTTCTTCGTTGAGTCGACACCCAGTTCGTGAAGTTATAGACGATCAAAAAACTATATTTTGTTTATTTTATAACTCGCTGGTCGCTTTAATATCGAGCTATGGAGAGTTGACTGTATATAAATAAAACGTCAAATCAGATGATGCTTGATGCTAGACTTGATTCAAAATAAAGCTAATTTTTGACCTAAACAATGTTTAAAGAGTTACCTTATTATTAAAGGTACAAGAAAATCCCCAACAGGGTATCAACTTTTTTCGTCTGCAAAAATCCGTAGATTAACCACACTGCTTCTAATCGCAGCCCTGCTTCATCCATTCTGACTAGCTGCCATTTCCTGGTAGTCTATTTTCAACTAATAGAAAAACACCCATCCTACGCAGAAAAAAACCCCCACACTGACTCCATCCAATCCAAATAATGACCGTCTGGGCGTGGATAGTAGATCGGGTTTTCGGACGAATCGCAAAATTATTCCCAGCAAATAGACCCCATCCTGTTGCACGAAAATGATTTCTCTCTCTCCAGGAAATCGTGGCCAATTTTTTGTCAGCTGAAATCGGCCCAAGGAGATCACTCTCGGACCCGCCATTCTCAGGAAAACCAAAACACGAGCGCCATCTGCCCTCGCAAAATCTCTTAACTTTCGATCCCATTAGGTTTCGTCCTTTGTTAAACAAAAGTTTAACACAAATTTGTTCTGGTCAAACAGATGAAAAAAAAACCCCCCGCTGAAACAATTTTTGACCATGTTTGACAACTCCGCGGGTTGACATGAGGGCAGAAAAGTTTTCTTGTTGGTCGTCCGCCTGGACATCAAATCAAAGTGCGATTTTCGACATTTCGCTCTCCGGTAATTGCAACTTTGTCGGCGGCGAAAGTTTGTCCTTTTTTCAGTGTCTCTCCCCAGCAAATCTGGAAGTGGAAACAATTTCGCTGTCGTTCGGGGCGATGGTAATAGAATGGGTTGTTTTGACAAGTGTCACATTGTTGGGGGGGTCCGAGCCAGGCGAGTGGTTGCTGAATTTTCCACAAAAGAATTAACGGCTCTCATCAGCGGTGGAAGTCGATCAGGGCCATATAAACAACCGGTTCACGGAAGCGTTAGATAGCAATTACCCCCAATAAAGGTGTTTTATGGTTATCGCTCCCCGGACGGCTTTCGTCTCCTTTTCATAATATGTATTTTGTGCCGGGAATGGGGAAAAGCCGGATTCGGGCTTGCTGGGAAGTGGGGAAATTTAATATTTATTGCACACCCGGGTGCTCTTCACGCAGGAAGCACAAGAAGAAGGAGCTCGATATTAAAACAAAATATCTTAAATTTGCATCTTAGAAAACGGTCGTCCGACGATTAAAAGCTATCTCAGGAATGGCGAGCTCTTTGTGGGGTTTGGCAATTAGTGAAAGAGGTTAACATTTTAATTACAAATTGCTCTTTGGCTCTATTTTCATTTCGGATGAATAATCGTACACACTGAGTTCAGATCACCGAAGTCGGGGTTGCCTGTACAAAGTTCGGAATAAATTTTCAAATTGATCATTTTTTCCCTTATTTTTAAACTGTTACCGAACACGTCCGTAGTTCACAACCTAACGAACAGTGGAGGCCTGGTTTAGTGTGTAGCTTCCATTTTGCTGCGAGCTGTCAAAACAACACATTGATGCAGTACTAGATTACCCAAGCCATTCGTCACCACTCGGTTGGCCTACTGCTGCAATGGCGAAAGTTGTTAGTCTGTCGGGGAAAAACAAAAGTCATAGATTACGCAAAATTAACGCATTTTCCAGCGTTGGTAGGAACCTTCTGTTTTTCTTCAACGAAAAAATAATAAAAAAGGGAAACCCGGTAACGAGTTCGAGTCAGAGCTTTGCACGTGGAAACACAACGGAAAACAAAAAGTACCAACTTAAATGCTCCGCTAAATCAACTGGAAAATGGTGGCTTTTGCGCGGAAATTTATGGCACTTCTCTGCTCTAGGACGACGAGCGTATGAAGGCACGTTATAGACGTATGCCGGCACTCGGTTGCTGATGGTAGCGGAACGCTAGGGGCTGTGGTGGGAGCCATTTTATTTATTTTATATCGCGGTGGAAGGTAGAAAACGGGAAGTACATTCAACTGGCAATTAAAGCCATGAATATTCAATACATTGCATTGTTTTTACGGTGCATTTTCTAGAGCAGAGCTAGCTTTTACATCCATAAGTGGGGAATAATGGCATTGGTGCAGAACTTCAGGACGGTTCTGGATCTATCAAAAGTACTCAGGTCAACCCGTCTGCAATGTAAATCCGGGATGGCAACCTGATGAATTGTCCTCAAAATCACTTACTGTGTTCCCCCGTTTACTTGGAATCCTAGAAGACCTTGAAGGCAAGCACGGTGGTTCTCAGCAACAAGCACGACTCTGAAAATATAAAAGACCCTGAAGAAATGTCCAGACGATTGAATTTGGTACGTAATCCGAATCTATGGCAAAAAGTCGAAAGACAAAATGTTGAAAGGACAAAAGGTCCAAAGGACAAAAGGTCGAAAGGACAAATGGTCGAAAGGATCAATGGTCGAAACCGCAATTTAAACATCTATTTTCATTTTTAAGAATGAGAATTCTCCTTTGGTTCGTTAATTTTGTGTTCATTTGATCATGTAAAACTTGTGATTTGAATTAACAATAAATCTCTTTAGGCTTCTTTAGCTTATCAACTAACAACCAAGAATAAATCTCTATAGGTTTCATTATCAAAGAATGATCAGATTTTAAAAGAAGAGAAAAATGTCAAAAATTATGATTTCATGGAACAGTGGCGCATGGTCACTAATGGTGGTTCGTTGAATTTATTTTGTTCCCTTTATTTTTGACCTTTTGTTTTTCGACTTTTTGTCCTTTCAACCTTTTGTCTTTCGACTTTTTGTCCTTTCAACCTTTTGTCTTTCGACTTTTTATCTTTCGACTTTTAGTCTTTCGACCTTTTGTCCTTTTGACATTCAGTCTATCGACCTTCTGTCTATCGACCTTCTGTCTATCGACCTTCTGTCTATCGACCTTCTGTCTATCGACCTTCTGTCTATCGACCTTCTGTCTATCGACCTTCTGTCTATCGACCTTCTGTCTATCGACCTTCTGTCTATCGACCTTCTGTCTATCGACGTTCTGTCTATCGACCTTCTGTCTATCGACCTTCTGTCTATCGACCTTCTGTCTACCGACCTTCTGTTTATCGACCTTCTGTCTATCGACCTTCTGTCTATCGACCTTCTGTCTATCGACCTTCTGTCTATCGACCTTCTGTCTATCGACCTTCTGTCTATCGACCTTCTGTCTATCGACCTTCTGTCTATCGACCTTCTGTCTATCGACCTTCTGTCTATCGACCTTCTGTCTATCGACCTTCTGTCTATCGACCTTCTGTCTATCGACCTTCTGTCTATCGACCTTCTGTCTATCGACCTTCTGTCTATCGACCTTCTGTCTATCGACCTTCTGTCTATCGACCTTCTGTCTATCGACCTTCTGTCTATCGACCTTCTGTCTATCGACCTTCTGTCTATCGACCTTCTGTCTATCGACCTTCTGTCTATCGACCTTCTGTCTATCGACCTTCTGTCTATCGACCTTCTGTCTATCGACCTTCTGTCTATCGACCTGCTGTCTATCGACCTTCTGTCTATCGACCTTCTGTCTATCGACCTTCTGTCTATCGACCTTCTGTCTATCGACCTTCTGTCTATCGACCTTCTGTCTATCGACCTTCTGTCTATCGACCTTCTGTCTATCGACCTTCTGTCTATCGACCTTCTGTCTATCAACCTTCTGTCTATCGACCTTCTGTCTATCGACCTTCTGTCTATCGACCTTCTGTCTATCGACCTTTTGTCTATCGACCTTCTGTCCATCGACCTTCTGTTCATCGACCTTCTGTCTATCGACCTTCTGTCTATCGACCTTCTGTCCATCGACCTTCTGTCTATCGACCTTCTGTCTATCGACCTTCTGTCTATCGACCTTCTGTCTATCGACCTTCTGTCTATCGACCTTCTGTCTATCGACCTTCTGTCTATCGACCTTCTGTCTATCGACCTTCTGTCTATCGACCTTCTGTCTATCGACCTTCTGTCTATCGACCTTCTGTTTATCGACCTTCTGTCTATCGACCTTCTGTCTATCGACCTTCTGTCTATCGACCTTCTGTCTATCGACCTATTGTCTTTTGACCTTTTTTCTTTTGACCTTTTGTTTTTCGACCTTTTGTCCTTTCGATCTTTTGTCTTTTGACCTATTGTCCCTAACTCACAGAATCCAACCCATTCTACAAGAACATCATCAGCTCTACCGTTGATACTCTATGAAAATATCGTTAAAATTCTACTGTAATCCCGTCTAACATTCCATAAAGATCTGATATTCTACACTAGACTAGATTCTGAGATTCTACAAGAATCCCGCCGCTATTCTACGATAATTTTGTCTGTGATTCTACAAAAATCTCGTCTGAGATTCAACAAGAATCTCGTCTGAGATTCTACAAGAATCTCGTCTGAGATTCTACAAGAATCTCGTCTGACATTCTACAAGAATCTCCTTTTGAGATTTGTTAAGAATTTCCTTCTGAGATTCTGCAAGAATATCCATCTGAGGTTATCACGTTTGAGTTTCTACAAGAATCTCGTCTGACATTCTACAAGAATCTCTTCTGAAATTCTGCAAGAATGTTATTCTGCGATTCTACAAGAATCTTCTTCTGAGTAAACTTTCTGAGATTCTGCAAGAATATCGTCTGAGATGCTACAAACATTTCAAATGATTTGCAACCAGAATCTCAGATGAGATTCTACAAGAATATCGTCAGAGATTCTACAAAAAATTCATGAGATTCTACAAGAATCACTCTTTCTGTGTTTTTACAAGAATCTCCTTCTGAGATTATGCAAGAATCTCCTTCTGAGATTATGCAAGAATCTCCTTCTGAGATTCTACAAGAATCTCCTTCTGAGATTCTACAAAAATCTCCTTCTGAGATTCTTCAAGAATCTCCTTCTGAGGTTCTACAAGAATCTCCTTCTGAGATTCTACAAGAATCTCCTTCTGAGATTCTTCAAGAATCTCCTTCTGAGATTCTTCAAGAATCTCCTTCTGAGGTTCTACAAGAATCTCCTTCTGAGATTCTACAAGAATCTCCTTCTGAGATTCTACAAGAATCTCCTTCTGAGATTCTTCTAGAATCTCCTTTTTAGATTCTAGTAGACATTCCTTCTTAGATTTTACAATAATCTCTAAGATTCGACAAGAATATTATCTGAGATTCCATAAGAATCTCGTCTGAGATTCTACAAGCATCTCGTCTGAGATTTTACAAGAATCTCGTCTGAGATTCTACAAGAATCTCACCTGAGATTTAACAAGAAAATCATCTGAGATTCTACAAGCATTTCCTTCTTAATTCTGCAGAAATCTCCATCTGAGATTCAACAAGTATCTTCTTCTGCGATTTTACAAGAATCTCCTTCTGAGATTCTACTAGAATCTCCTTCTGAGATTCTACTAGAATCTCCTTCTTAGATTTTACAATAATCTCGTCTAAGATTCTACAAGAATATTATCTGAGATTCCATAACAATCTCGTCTGAGATTCTACAAGAATCTTGACTGCGATTCTACAATATTTTTTTTAGATTCTACAAGAATTTCGTCTGAGGTTCTACAAGAATCTCTACTGAGATTTTGCATAAATTCACGGGTTAGATTCTAAAATAATCTCGTCTGACATTCTACAAAAATATCGTCTGTAATTCTACTAGAATCTCGTCTGAGATTCTACGAGAATCTCGTCTAAGACAGTAAAAGAATCACGTTTGAGATTCTACAAGAAGCTCGCTTGAGATTCCTCAAGAAAATCTATCTGAGATTATACAAGAATCTCCTTTTGAGAATCTACAACAATCTCCTTCTAAGATTCTACAAGAATCTCTTTCTGAGATTGTGCAAGAATCTCCTTATGAGATTCTACAAGAATCTCTTTCTGTGTTTCTACAAGAATGTCCTTCTGAGATTCTGCAAGAAGACTCTGCAAGAATGTCCTTCTGATATTCTGAAAGAATATCCTTCTGAAATTCTTCAAGAATCTCCTTCTGAGATTCTACAAAAATCTCCTTCTGAGATTCTACAAAAATCTCCTTCTGAGATTCTACAAGAATCTTCTTCTGAGATTCTACAAAAATCTCCTTCTGAGATTCTACAAGAATCTTCTTTTGCGATTCTACAAGAATCTCTTTCTGAGATTCTACTAGAATCTCCTTCTTAGATTCTACTAGACATTCCTTTTTAGACTGTATTATAATCTCGTCTAAGATTCTATAAGAATATTATCTGAGATTCCATAAGAATCTTGTGTGAGATTATACAAGAATCTTGACTGATATTTTACAAGAATTTTGTTTGAGATTCTACAAGAATTTCATCTGAGATTCTACAAGAATCTCTACTGAGATTCTAAAAGAATCTCTACTGAGATTCTAAAAGAATCTCTACTGAGATTCTAAAAGAATCTCTACTGAGATTTTGCATAAATTCACGAGTTAGATTCTAAAATAATCTCGTCTGACATTCCAAAAAAATATCGTCTGTGATTCTACTAGAATCTCGTCTGAGCTTCTATGAGAATCTCGTCTAAGACAGTACAAGATTAACGTTTGAGATTCTAAAAGAATCTCGCCTGAGATTCTTCAAGAAAATCTATCCTTCTGAGATTCTAAAAGAAACTCCTTTTGAGATTCTACAAGAATCTCTTTCTGTGTTTCTACAAAAATCTCCCTCTGAGATTCTGCAAAAAAGTCCTTCTGAGATTCAGAAAGAATATCCTTCTGAGATTCTGAACGAATCTCCTTCTGAGATTCTTCAAGAATCTCCTTCTGATATTCTTGTAGAAACTCCTTTTGTCATTCTACAAGGATCTCCTTCTGAGATTCAACAAAAATCTCTTTCTGAGATTCTACAAAAATCTCCTTCTGAGATTCTACAAAAATCTCCTTCTGAGATTCTACAAGAATCTTCTTCTGAGATTCAACAAGAATCTCTTTCTGATATTCTACAAGAATCTCCTTCTGAGATTCTCCATCTGAGATTCTACAATAATCTTCTTCTGCGATTCTACAAAAATATCTTTCTGAGATTCTACTAGAATCTCCTTCTTAGATTCTACTAGACATTCCTTTTTAGATTTTACAATAGTCTCGTCTAAGATTGTACAAGAATATTATCTGAGATTCGATAAGAATCTCGTCTGAGATTATACTAGAATCTTGACTGATATTTTACAAGAATTTTGTTTGAGATTCTACAAGAATTTCATCTGAGATTCTACAAGAATCTCTACTGAGATTCTACAAGAATCTCTACTGGGATTCTACTAGAATGTCTACCGAGATTCTACTAGAATATCTACTGAGATTTCGGCTGATATTCTAAAATAATCTCGGCTGATATTCTACAGAAATCGCGTATGTGATTCTACTAGAATCTCGTCTGAGATTCTACAAGAATCCCGTCTAAGATAAACAAGAATCACGTTTGAGATTCTACAAGAATCTCGCCTGAGATTCTTCAAGAAAATCTATCTGAGATACAAGAATCTTCTTCTGAGATTCTACAAGTTTTTTCTTCTGAGATTCTACAACAATCTCCTCCTGAGCTTCTACGAGAATCTCTTTCTGAGATTCTACAAGAATCTCCTTCTGAGATTCTACAAGAATCTCCTTCTGAGATTCTACAAGAATCACCTCCTGAGATTCTACAAGAATCACCTCCTGAGATTCTGCAAGAATCTCCTCCTGAGCTTCTAATAAAATCTTCACCTGAGATTCTACGAGAATCTCCTTCTGAGATTCTACAAGAATCGCATTCTGAGTTCAAAAATGGTGGAGCCAAGATGGTGGATGGTTTTCAAAATGGAGGATTCAAGCTGGTGGGTCGTTGATGAAATATTCTATCCTTTCGAAAAAATACTATTGCATATTCCAATGACAATTTCAGTACCAAGATGATGATTGATTTTCAAAATTGAGGTTTTCAGATGGTGGATGATTTTCAAAATGGATGATTTAAGATGGCGGGTCTTCGATAAAAAGATCAATGCAATTTTGTTGTATATTAATGATAGTCTACTTTTGCAATAATTAGTTCAACTCCAAAATGGTGGCTGATCTTCCAAATCGGGGATTGAAGATGGAGGATGATTATCTTAATAGTGGATTCAGGATGACCGGACTTTTATAAAATAGTCGATCTTTCTGCATGCAATATTTTTGCAATTGCAATGAAAATCAATTCCAAGATGGCAGTTGATTTTCAAAATGGTGGATTCAAGATGGCGGGCGTTGCAATGGCATTTTCAATTCCAAGATAGTGGCTGGTCTTCTAAGTTGTGGATTCAAGATGGTGGATGATTTCAACAAGGAAGGATTCAAGATGGTTCTTCTTCTTCTTCTTCTTCTTCTTCGTCGCATTTAAAGCTTATCGATTATAAGCTTATTGCGTGCCCTTCCACAGTTATTAATTAAGAGCTTTCGATGCCTCTACCATTTCTACATTAGTATAATTGTGTGGTAAGTACAATCATACTGTATGACCAGGAAGGTCGTGCAATTTTCCAATCTGAAAAATAGGTTTGAAGATCAGACGGGAAGAGATCTGAAATGGTGATTGATTTTCAACATGGTGGATTCAAACTAGCAAGTCTTTGATATAAAGGTCAATGCAACTTTGTTTTATAGTGATAATCTACTATTGCAATGACAATTTGTATTCCAAAATGGTGGCTGATTTTCCAAATGGCAACATTTTTATAAAATAGTCGATCTTACCGAATGTAATATTTTTGTAATTGAAATGACAATCAATTCCAAGATGGCAGATTACTTTCAAAATGATAGTAGATTTTGATAATGGTAAATTAAAGATGGTTGGTCATTGATATTATATTTGTGGAAGAAATGTTATTGCAATTGCAGTGACCATTTCAATTCCAAGATAGTGATTGATTTTAAAAAGGGTGACTTGGTGGATTGTTTTTAAAATGGAAGATTTAAGATGGTGGATCTCTGATAAATTGGTCAATGGAATTTTGTTGGAAAGTGATGATATTCTGCTACTACAATAAATCTTTCAATTCCAAAATGGTGGCTCAGATCAGACTTGAAAAGATCTGAAATTGTGATTGATTTTCAGAATGGCAATTTTTTTATAAAACGGTTGATATATCTATATGTATTTTTTTAAATTGGAATGACAATTTCAATAACGAATTGATAGAT